CCTGCAAAAAGACCACCGAAACTGCTTGATGATGTAATATCCTTAAATAACCTAAATCTCTTCCCAGGACAATTTAATCCCTTTATCATTATAAGTGATAACTTGTAATCTTCCATCTTTTTTTTTTTTTTTTTAGAGATCACATAACTATCCTCCTTCTCTTATACCCTTGCTTTTTAATACCTCTCTCTATCCTGCAGATGTATTCCTTTATTATTCTTTTCCCTCCCCTCCCTCCCTCAACTCTCCCCAACCCCTACCCTTCCTAACCCTCCCCCCCCTGCCAGCTCCCCCCCCCCCCTCCTCCCGCCTCCCGACCCCCCCCCCAGGCTTCCCATGCCTTTGGATCATATTCCACCTTTGATCCCTCTATGGGGGTTTGACTCTGCCCATGACCGCTTACCTCCCCTCCTCCCCAATATCCCCTTATCTGTTAATTCTCTATTTCCTCTTTTGACCAGCTACCACTTTCCTGACCCACAAAAATCCCAACTCTCCCTCCTCCACTTCCCAACCAGGTATCGTTTGTCTCTGCAGTCCAAGTTTGTCACAAAATTCCTCCATGTCTTCCGGGAATTTTAAAATAGCTGTAGTTCCATCCCTCCACCCAATTAAACTTAAGTCACGACCCCATCTGTATTTCACATTTTGTTTTTTCATCTCTTCTAATAGGGGTTTCAGTGATCTCTTCCTTCTCAGAGTCTCTGCTGTCAGATCTGCAAAAATTTGGATATTTTTCCCTCCATATGTAATATTTGTTTTCCTTTGATCTTTTTCCATATCTCTTCTCTTATCTCCATAATTATGAAATTTAACAATTATATCTCTCCCGGTTTTTCTACCCCTTTTCCTTGTTGGTACTTCCCAATCCTGTATACTTTCATCCAGTTTGAACATCTCCTCATCCGAGTTGTCCATTATGAAGTTCAAGATTTTGCCAGATAATTCTTTTAAATCTTCCCCCTTTGTCAGTTCCGGGATTCCTCTTACTCTGATATTATTTCTCCTTTCTCTATTTTCTTGTTCTTCCATCCTATAAAGCAATCTCTTTGTATTCTTTTTTTATCTTCAAATTATCCATTTCTCTAATTTTAGGATATTCTGAGCCTGGGCTTGTACCTTCTCCTCCACTTCCTCCACCCTAGTTTAACAGTTGTCCAGATCTTCCCCAGGATCATCCCCATCTCTTGCTTTATTGAGTTTTCCAAACCTTTAAACATCTCCACCATTTCTTTTTTGTTAGGTATTTGCATATCTCTTTCCAACTCTCTTGGTTCAATACCTTCCATTTGATTGTTATAAACTGGGCCCAGGGAAAGTCTCGGACTATTATCCACACTTATATCCAATTCACTTTTTTCATTTATTCCCTGAGTTCTTTCTGGGGTAACATTTCCTTGTGACACATATTTCTTAATTGTACCAGTTTGGGTATTCTTAGGCCCGCTCCCTTTTATATTTTTTACCTTTCATGTTGTTATTGAAATATTTACTCTTGTTTCATGCAACTTCGGTTCTCTTACTCCTCCCGATCTTCAGACCTATCCTAGGAATCCCCTAATTCTTTTATTTTCAGGATGAATTTTTAAAACACTGTCTTATTCTGGATACTTGGGAAAGTAGTGCAGGAGCTCAATATATATAAAAGTCTAATATACGAACCCAATGTAAATGGTGTATAAAAAGGGGACCTGTAGGCTGAAGACTAACCCACGGTCATCACTCACCCACCGCGTTGGAACCTCACTCCAGAAGCAGATCTCCTCTGTATTTTTGTCCACTTATAGCCTCTTGAAAGGATTCCTAGGGGTCTCACGTAGCTCATGTAGCTTATCTTTAGGTCACAAGTCCTCTTAAGTTGGAGTTGATATACAGGTTAATACTTAATAGAGAAAGGAGTAGTGTAGGAGGATATACTTTTTAACCCTTTTATGAAAAATGAAGATATAAAGTTTATAAGACTGTAAAGTTGAGAATGGTTAGGAGGTGATATGGGGTGGAGGTAGGTTAAGTAGAGGAGACAGGTATATGTTTATACGTGGTGTATATTGTGGGGGCAATATGTCTTTTGCTCTCCTCCACCTGCACTGCTATCGGGCAATCTCTCTCCTTCTCTGAGCTCCCAGAGCTCCTCCGCGGCTTCCCACGTGTCGGTGCCGCTCCAATACCTTGCCCGTCTCACCAGCGTCTCCCTGGCGACCCCGCTCCCCGAAGCCGCCGCAAGACGCCGGAGGATACCACGAGGCTTCCCTCTCTCAGCTGGCTCTAGGCTGCCCGACCGTCTCCCTGGCAACCCTGCTCCTCCGAAGCCACCGCGTGACACCGCGAGACGCCAGAAGATACCACGAGGCTTCCCTCTCTCAGCTCTCTCCAGGTTCCAGGCTGCCCGACCGTCTCCCTGGCAACCCTGCTCCTCCTCGATAACAGCTGCTGGGCGTCGGGGGAAAACCCAGAGGTATCCCCCTCCCGTCTCTCTCCTGACACTCTCCTGGGTCCGATCGTCCTCGGGCTTCCACGAATCCTCTCCTGCAGGTGGGTCTCTGCACTCAATTAGTGCTGCTGGCCATTCAATCAGGGATTCATAGGGAGGATAAACGAGGGGAGGCTATCGGAGAGTGCTTACTACTACACCCTCCTATTCTAGGTTTTCTGTAAACCCGTGTAACCCCATTACTCCAGCTTACAAGGTAGGCTTGAATCTGATTGGTTGGCTGGAAGAACATCTGAGTGTTCACTTTCTTTTACATCAGATGTTCTTTAGGCCCCTTTCACAGCACATGGCTTGCTCTGGGCACACACAGAGAAGATGAAAAGCATAGAGGGCTCCCACGGGACTGTAGAAGAGGAGGTAAGGGACTGCTTTGTGCATTATCATAGTACAGTAAGTATAACTTTGTTTCTATTTCAATGGAGGAAAAAAATAACTTTATTGCTTTAAGTTTATTTTATTGCAGAAGAGACATTGAATGCATGTCTGTTCTGTAAAAAAAGAGCCTGCCTGGACATTTTTTTAAATTTAAAAACTTTAGTTCCCCCTTTAAGGCCTCGTTTACACTTGCTTTGCTTTCTGAAGAGTGATCCACATTTGGATCACTCTTCAGAGAGCATTTGCCAGAAAATGAGGAGGCGTTTTATTGCCTCCTCACTGCCTGTTTTAATTGCTAAATGCTAGGCTATTAGGCCACAACCATGCACGTTGTGTGCCCTTGCAGCAAGGCCCCATTCACTTGACTGGGTCATGTTCAGTGGGTGGAAATGCTAGCTAAGTGCGACAGGTTGTATAACTCTTGCCACAAAGCAAAGCACCATGGCTGCAAGCATGTGAACATCCCCTTTTCCATCTAAAGAGGGAGCAGGGGCAGACTGACCATTTGAGCATGCGGGCACCGCCCGAGGGCCCGGGGTCAGTAGGGGGCCCCATGAAATACCGCTGGTACATTTTATAGGCTTTTTTGGGTGTGCTTTGAGTGTGGGCAAGGACACAGGGGCCCCATGATCCCCTATTGCTTGTGGGCCCCATGAGTTGTCAGTCCACCCCTGAGAGGGAGCATTTTAGAAGTGCTATAAATGTGGCTCAAATGCATGTTTTTACCACCCCCCCCCCAACCACTAGTGTAAATGAGTACTAAGAGGTTTCAATCTTTATTTTTCTGCTTGCCCTGCCCCCCTAAGCATGTTATAACTGAGTAAGGCTGAGTTAAAAAAGCACACTTTCTAAGACGTAATGTAAACCTTCCCAGGTCTGCTCCTCCATTTGTTTTCCTGTGATCCAGTGCAGTGAAGTTAGTGTTCCAGAATATATGCATGAAACCTCTAGATACTGCACTGCTGCAATATATGTGTTGACTATGCTGTCGTTGCAGGAAAATGAAGCAAATGCCTTTAAGTGTTTACGTTAGCTCCTTATAAAATATTACAGATGAAGCTTACCCAGTATATTTCCTGGAGAACACTGGCACGTGCCGCGTGCACTTAATGCGCCAGGGCATTTAATGCAATCCCAGCCATCAGTGGATACACCCTAAAATAATATGTAGATATATTACATCAAGGGTGTTATGTCAAATACTTAACAATCTTTGTTATCTTATTTTATTATTTAGGCATTAGAGTTTTTTTAATACTTTTTAGGGCAGGATGGTGGAATATCTTTGACCCCCTTTGGCATCAATGATATTCCCAATTTAGGATCTGAAGCACACTTACTAGCAGACTGATTGGCTCCTTGTACTGGTTCTCCTTCTCACACTCCAGCCCTGCTATACAGGAACTGCAAGAGGCTGATACCAGGTCAAATCTAGAATTCAGTTTTAGGTGTGTAATGTTGAGTGTTCATTTTAGGAGACAGGTTTTGTTAGAAGAGTACATTAGAGCTGCACATTTAGGGGTCATTCACATGTGCAACGGAGACTGCTGCTTTCCTGTAAAGATGCCCACGCTCGGATTGCTTTTAAAAGGTGTTTGGCAGGTGGCGAGGAGGCGATATGTTGCCTCCTCACTGCCTGATTGACCCTTTAAATGCCGTTTGAATGCTGAAATGTACTGCATGCGATTACAGGGTGGTTGCAGGGTGGCCCCATAGAACTGCATTAGTTGCATTCAGCAGCAGCAGCACTGCCCTCTGAAAGTGACATGCTGGCTAAGTTATGCTCTATGTTAGCATTCAGGCAGGTGGTAAAACAGCAGCTCAAGTGCCTAGTTTTACTACCCCCAGCCATGGCCGGATCTAGGAGGGTGCTGGGGTTGGCTATCCCCCCCAGATTTTAGTTGTGCCCCCCCCCCCCCCTAAAGCCAACCGCCTCCCCTCCATCTCAAACACTCTGCCTGTCTGCTGAACCATACTGCAAATAGTTGCCCTTTCCTTGCAGCTTTGTAAATATACAAGTAAATGTACTGCCCAGTTAAACTTGTAATCTGGTTAGCAGGGGGCCTAGCGGGGTGGGCAAGGCAGCCAATAGCATTTGCATTCTCCTCCCCTGGAGGTGTGCAGTGCAGGGATGGGAGAAGGAGCTCTGCTGAGTGCCCTGCCAGCAGCGACCCCTTTCCTCTGCCCTGCCAGCAGCGACCCCGGTCCTCTGCCCTGCCAGCAGCGACCCCGGTCCTCTGCCCTGCCAGCAGCGACCCCAGTCCTCTGCTCTGCCAGCAGCGACCCCAGTCCTCTTCTCTGCCAGCAGCAACCCCTGTCCTCTGCCCTGCCAGCAGCGACCCCTGTCCTCTGCCCTGCCAGCAGCGACCCCGGTCCTCTGCCCTGCCAGCAGCGACCCCTATCCTCTGCCCTGCCAGCAGCGACCCCTATCCTCTGCCCTGCCAGCAGCGACTCCTATCCTCTGCCCTGCCAGCAGCGACCCCTGTCCTCTGCCCTGCCAGCAGCGACCCCTGTCCTCTGCCCTGCCAGCAGTGACCCCTGTCTTCAGCTCTGTTTCCTGTACACTGCCCTACAAACTTATGGCCTCTGTACACTGTCCTACATAATGCTGACCCTGTTGTTTGCCCTGCTGACCCCTTGTACACTACTCTGCTGATTTCCAATCTTCTGCCCCCCTGACATTTTTCACTGCACCCCTACATTGGACAGGCTAGGTCCAACCCTGCCCCCAGCCACACATGTAAACAATCCCTAAGGTTGCTTTCACACAGACCGATCTGCGTTGGATATCTGTTCAGAACGTGGTTTACACCTGGTTTAGAGATATTCAGAAGGAGATACTGCCACCCCCGAAAGGCTTCTTTTTTCAATCCCAAGGGAGATTTTACATTGAAATACCATGCTGAAAACACTAAAATCAATGGAACTGTGTGGCAACAGCTTTTGAGATGTAGTCCTTGGGGGGACTACTGGACGTGTCTGGCTGGTGAAAAGTCTGCAGAATGTAAAACCGGTATATCATGCAGCGATGTGAATGCACTAGTCTGAACTGCTGTATTGGGAAGTAAGGTAAACCTCAGGTGTGGGTGTAACTACTATGACCCAAATACCTGCTTTTCACTGCAGCCCTCTGCCCAAGTGAACAAGGCCCGACTCCATGGCGGGAGCCCTGCACTAAAATCTATTAAGCACTGAATTTCCAGTGCTGAGAATATACAGTATGTCTGCATTTTACAATACCTAGCAACTATTATTTCTTACGGCCAAAGTCTTCAAACTGGTGTCAGAGTGTAAGGGGGCTAATTCAATGTCAGTCTGACATCTGCCAACATAACTTATACCTATGGCCCTTTTTGTATGGCAGGTCCAACTAGGTCTGCCAGTCAGTTTTTCAGGAGGACATGATTGGATGGTCTATTCACCACAAAGACCTCTGAGTTTAAATGGTCTTGTGTCTGATCTGGTCCAATAATAAATAAAATGGAACGGGATCTGTCCCCCTCTGTCTAGGCGGATCAGATTGGAGGGTGTACAACGGACGGGGGCAGGGAACTCGGGCACAGCCCGAGGGCCCAGGGTCAGTAGGGGGCCCCATGAGATGCCCCTGGTACCTTTTTCATAGTTTTTTTTTAGCTTGGGCAAGGACACAGGGGCCCCATGATCCCCTATTCCCCAGGGGCCCCATGAGTTGTCAGTCCGCCCCTGGATGTTGGAGTACGTTTACACCCGGCCACCCATAGAGCAGAGTGGGTTTTGTCCGTGTCCACTTTGCGGAAACTGAGCGGACACGGAACTGTCATTCTCCCGCTCTGCTGTGATCTGCAGGGCATCCGCGAACAGATTCCCTGCTGATCAAAACCGTGTCCGCCCCATGTGTAAGGGGTCTAATAAAATGTGCAAAATTGCTTGAAAAATAAATAAATCCTTACCATCCTGTCGGGGCATTTTTGGCAAGTGATAACAGGATCATTCTTGGGACCAAGTTTATATCCAGGAAGGCATTCACAGGATAAACCTAAAGAACAGAAAATGTTTAATCACCTGTGTATTGGTTTTCTGATCTAGATGTAGCTTTCAAATATTCCTTGTGTTACTTTTGCATATTATGAAAAGAACTACTAGCTTCTTTACGGTTAGTTTTTCCCCTGGGCAAACATAAAACAAATAAAAACGTACATTTTGGGCCTGAGTTGATTGCAAATTTTTATGTTACACGATATTTGTGGCTATTTCAGTCCAGAATAGGCACTGTATTGTCAGCCCACAACAGAAAATTAAAGTGGAAGTAAATGCTCTTTTTTTCTTGAAATAACAAACATGTTTTACTTACCTGCTCCGTCCAATAGTATTGCACAGAAGGGCCACTTACCTTCTTTGCTGGGGTCCCCTTCCAACGCTCTTACCTCCTCCTCTTCTCTGAGCACCTACTTAGCAATATGTGAGGGGGCACTCTTGCTGGTGTGCTCCCAAGCAGGGCTGTGTGCGTCTATAAACATACACAGTGACTCAGCCCCACTCCTTCCTCACAGGATTTGACTGACAGCAGCTGGTGCCAATGGTTCTCGCTGCTCTCAGAGAGTCCTACAAGGAGAGGAAGAGAAAGCAGTGCTGCTGCAGAAGAGCACAGCGCTGGATCGAGGTAAGACTCAGGTAAATGTTTGCAGGGTGGAAGGAGCAAGTAGTTGGACATGTTCTAACTGAATGCAGGGAGTGCATTATGGTAGAAAAAAGTCTTGGCTTTAGAAGCACTTTAAAGTAGATTTCTGGGAAAAATCTAACTAATCTTAAAATTGTGTCTCCCCCACCCCCACCCCCATAACACCTATGCTAACCTATGTAAGGTGTACACACTTACCTATTTTCAGCCGGCACTGGTCCAGTCACACCCTCCCTTGAACTTTGTGCCCATACCTCAGTATGGGCTTTCACTTAGAAAGCTGGAGGAAGATGGAATGGACTACAAGCATGTGGAGTGGGGGCAGGGGTACTCAGTTGGAGGGGAGCACATATGTGATAGGAAGTCTTCTATTTAAGGAATTGGTTGATAAAATAGTTGGAAACCAACTGCAGGCACCAGAATCCAGTTAACACACATCAGATATTAGGGCATTGCAATAGAACAGCCATTGATGTAATTCACTCAATATGGCACAGTATTGTAAAGGCAGACTACTCAGCAATGGCACAGTATTGTAACGGCAGTCTACTCGGCAATGGCACAGTATTGTAACGGCAGACTACTCGGCAACGGCACAGTATTGTAACGGCAGACTACTCGGCAACGGCGCAGTAATGTAACGGCAGACTACTCGGCAATGGCACAGCATTGTAACGGCAGACTACTCAGCAATGGCACAGTATTGTAACGGCAGACTACTCGGCAATGGCACAGTATTGTAACGGCAGACTACTCGGCAATGGCACAGTATTGTAACGGCAGACTACTTGACACGGTGTTGCGGGGGGGAGAGCTCAGGGGGTGAGGTGGCAGGAGCTGAAACATGTTACACCTTAACTAAGGGTGTAACATGTGCCAAAGGTGAATTTAGCCTTTAAAGCTGCACTCCAAGAAAAAGGGATATCTTATACCTGAGGGGCTGCTGGGGAAACTGACAATCGCTGTAGTAGTTGGTGCTACTGCAGTGATAGCTGCCATCTTCGGGGTCCCATTGGGATTCTGTACAGGCAGCTTCCCCTCTGCACACTGACCTCAAGTCATTCATTAAAAACAATACAAAGTGTTCTATGAATTGCATGTGTGTGGGGTGAGCGTCCCCTGTGGTCAGTTTGCAGTGGGGCAGCTGCTTACATAGAATCTGAGGAGGACCCAGAAGATGGTGGCTATCACGGTAGTAGCACTGACTACTACAGTGATTGTCGGCTTCCCTAGCAGTCAACAGGTATGAGATATGTGTACTTACATTGTGCCAAGCTGGACCAAAGTAACAATATAGCTATGAAGACAAATCTTTTCTGGAGTTCACCCTTGACAAGACTGAAATACGGTATGCAAAGGGAGGGGGGGATTTACTAAAACTGAAGCACTCAGAATCTGGATTAGCTGTGCATACTAACCAATCTCTGCCAATCACTCCACTGGCTTCCACTCGCCCAACAAATAAAATTCAAACTTACAAAGCCATCCACAACTCTGCCCCCAGCTACATCGCCAACCTGGTCTCAAAATACCAACCAAACCGCTCTCTTCGATCCTCCCAAGACCTTCTGCTCTCTAGTTCCCATGTCACCTCCTCCCAAGCTCACCTCCACAACTTCTCCTGAGCTTCTCCCATCCTATGGAGCTCCCTACCCCAATCTGTCCAGCTGTCTCCTAATCTATCCACCTTTAGACGATCCCTTAAAACCCTTCACTTTAACCGCCTCCCGCCTGCCATATAGTACAATGACAGGCGCAAGGCGGTTCTCTCATTCTGGGAGGACGTCATATGACGTCCTCCCATTCTAACCTCGCATGCGCAGCTCCGGGAGCGCGTAGCGTGGCGATCAGCAGTGCGCTGTGTCCCTCGGCGGATCACCGATCAACGGAAAGAGCCGAAGATGTCGGCTCGGTCATGTGATCAGCTGTGTCCAATCACAGCTGATCGCATGTAAATAGGGAAATGCCAGTTATTGGCATTTCTCTCCCCACGAGCAGTCACGCTGACAGCTCGAGAGGAAAGGAGAGCCAGTAATCGGCATTCCTCAAAGGGGACATGTACACTGATCATCAGGGCACAGATGATCAGTGTGCCCTGATGATCTTTGTAGCCCCAGCAGTGCCACTTGTCAGTGTCCATCAGTGCCAGCTGTCAGTGCTCATCCATGCCACCTGCCAGTGCCCATCAGTGCCACATCAATGCCACATTTCAGTGCCTACCAGTGCACATAAATGCCACATATCAGTGCCCATCTGAGCTGCCTTTCAGTGTCACCCATCAGTGCCAGTCCGTGCCACCTATCAATGTCAATCAGTGCCACCTATCAGTGCTGCCAATCAGTGCTGCCTATCAGTGCCAGTCAGTGCCGCCTATCAGTGCGCATCAGTGCCACCTAACAGTGCCAGTCAGTGCTACCTAACAGTGCCAGTCAGTGCCGCCTATCAGTGCCAGTCAGTGCCACCTATCAGTGCAAAATATGAGTGCTGCCTTTCAGTGCCCATCAGTGATGCCTGTCAATGCCCAACAGTGCCATCTACCAGTGCCTCATCAGTGCCACCTGTCAGTGTCCATCAGTGCAGCCTATCAGTGCCCATCAGTGCAGCCTCATTAGCACACATCAGTGAAGGAGAAAAATAACTTATTTACAAAATTTAATAACAAAAACTAAGAAAAAACATTTTTATTTTCAAAATTTTCTGTGGTTTTTGGTTTGTTTAAGAAAAAATAAAAAACCCAGAGGTGATTAAATACCACCAAAATAAAGCTCTATCTGTCTCAAAAAATTATAAAAAAATTTATATGGGTACAGTGTTGCATGACTGCGCAATTGTCATTCAAAGTGCAACAGTGCTGAAAGCTGGAAATTGGCGGGCAGGAAGGGGGAATAAGTGCCCTGTAGGCTTGTGGTTAAAGAAGCCTATCCTAGTAAATCGCCATTTATTTCCTCCATCAGCTCATCCCCCCACAGCTATTACCTTTTGTATCACTCAACCCTTCCTCCTAGATTGTAAGCTCTTACGAGCCGGGTCCTCTGTTTCCTCTTGTACCAAATTGTATTGTAACTGTAATGTCTACATTTCATTTTGTAAAGAGCTGCGCAAACTGTTGGCGCTATATAAATCCTGTATATTAATAATAATCTACCTCCAGCTTGTTCAATTAGGCTTTGAGAATAAAACCTGGAATCTGATTGGTTCCTACGCAGAGCTGCACCAGATTTTACACTCTCCAGTTTTAATAGATCTCTCCCCCAGTGTAGATATTCCAAAAAGTGAGTCTTAGTGTGGCTGTATAAGCACCGTGTACAGTCATTGTCTTACTTTTTTCGGTTTATGCTCTTCACAGCCTCCCTTCTTCCAATAAAGTCACATAACACTGGTTGATTCCCCCCTTCCTTGTAATATGGAGCTGTGTGCATCCCCCATGACCAGTACAGCACCCACCCCCAATGTATTTATATATATATCTACCATCCTGGCCGGGCCGCTGGGTGTCTGGGCACTGCACACAAGACAGATTCCCCAGGTTGTAGTATTGTTGTGGTGAGCAGTCCTCTGGACGCTGCAGGGGGATGGAGTAGAGGAGGCCGCTGCATGGCAGGCACAGAATGGCCAGGCACAGGCCTCTGGAGCCCACACTGATCCTCTTCCCAGGCTCCATGGCTGAGTGGGGGAGGGGGAGGAGGAGGAGAGGGGATAAGTGGGGACATGCAGAAGGAGGAGGGATGGATGGAGGAGTGTACACACATACACGTGCGCAGCCTGGATCCTCATTCCTAGTACACACCTCATCTATGTGTACAGTCAGGGTTGGGACAAGGAAGGGGCTTTTTCCCTGGGTGCAATGTTAACAATAGTTTTCTATGTGTCGTGTTCACACCAGAGTGCAGCGTTCCACTGTATTCTGCAGCGTAATCCCTCCTCGCTGCCACCAACTCGCTCTCCCTCCCTTCCAGAGGAATGACTTTCACACAATCCTCCCATCTCATACATCCGCACTGCACACATCTACTAGTGTCTCAGCTCCGAGCAGTCCACACACCCGTCTGTCTGACAACCGCAGTCCACACACCCGTCTGTCTGACAACCGCAGTCCACACACCCGTCTGTCTGACAACCGCAGTCCACACACTCGTCTGTCTGACAACCGCAGTCCACACACCCGTCTGTCTGACAACCGCAGTCCACACACCCGTCTGTCTGACAACCGCAGTCCACACACCCGTCTGTCTGACAACCGCAGTCCACACACCCGTCTGTCTGACAACCGCAGTCCACACACCCGTCTGTCTGACAACCGCAGTCCACACACCCATCTGTCTGACAACCTTTCCATCCCAGCTGACTTTTTATCTCCTCCAACTGTCCTGTCCCCATCATGCAGTGTAGCACATTCTCTGCAGCTCTGACTACCCCCACCCCCTCCCTTGCCTTTTTTTTTTATCCTAATGCTCATTACACATGATAAGAAAATCGTATGAAAAATTTTGCGGAACCACTGATCGAACTATTTTCTCTTCGTTGATGAGCAGGATGTTTTAACCAATAACGATATTGTGAACATAAAAATCCGTTTGAACAACAGTGAAAAATTTTGTCGTTTCGCATACGAAAGTCTGATTTTCTATGCGTTGGTATGACTGTCATACGAAAAAAAATCTATCAAGTGCTATCACGCATGAGCGGAAACAGAAGATGACTCGGATGTTTATTTCCAAGAAATCTTCGTAAACACAAACGAAAAATCCAAATGTTAAAAGTTGGCCTAATGAGATAATGAAAGCAGAATTCTGCATATTCTATTTTATGTATCACTATTTATGTATATAGGTAATGTAATAAACTATATTATACTCATTGCTGGTAATTGTTGTGTATATCGCTCGTTCTGGCCAGAAGGGCGTGGCTACAAGGTCACATGCACGATGCATCACTTCCACTTGTACGGAAGACGTCAACATTACGTTTTGTCTGCCGAATGTTTTTTTTAGATTGGTTAATGTGGGTCACAATTTCAACCAACGAACGAACGTCGAATGACTGATTGGTCGATTTTCTAATTGTGTATTCCCACCTTTAGGCTTGGTTCGCACCTGTGCTTTTTACTTTTGATGTTTTTAAATGCACATTGCATTGTGGTTTGCATTTTTGCCATGTTTTTACTGCGTTTGCATTTTTTTCAGCTTTTTAAATTTTTGTTAAAGTGGAAATTTTTTTGTTGCTTGGCGAAAACAAAACACAAAACGCTGCAAACCACACTACATGCGTTTCAGCAGCTTCTCCATTGGACTCTATTATAGCACAAAAAAAAACTCTGCTTCTTTCCTAAAACACAGCAGCTCAAAAAAGTATAGATGTGAACATGGCGCACAGGAAACCATGTCAAATGGACTATAGTGTATTTCTGCATAAAGCACTAAAAGACACATTGGTATGAACCAGGGGTAACTGATTCCGCATTTTTATTCTATTTTTGATTCAAATTTTATCAGCCATATCTCGTTCCTCATTCACACCATATGCGCAGGGAAACGGAAGTCCAGATTTCACTTGCAGAGACATCAGTTTACATCAGTTTTCATGTGCACTCCAATGAGTTTTATACATGTTGCTGATTCCTGCGCAAAAAAAAAAACGCATGTGATACTAGTGTTGTGGTTTGAACAGGGCACATAGAGAACAATTGCTTTTGTTGTGCCCTTGCAGAACGCGTGCAGAAAACCTGACATCTCTGCACCATGGTGTGAATGAGCCCTCAAATGGCTAGTTCACCTTGAGCACTGGTTCACACTGACCCGGAGTTCATGCTGAAGCGCATAGTGATTTATGCATGTGTTTCTGCATGAATAGCATTGCAGTTTGAGTGTGATTTCACCAGAGGTGTGATTTTAGCATTTGACTTTAAGACAAAATCGACAGCCACTGACTTATTTATTTCAGGTACTTAGTCAGGTCCATAAATATTGGGACATCGACACAATTCTAACATTTTTGGCTCTATACACCACCACAATGTATTTGAAATGAAACAAACAAAATGTGCTTTAACTGCAGACTGTCAGCTTTAATTTGAGGGTATTTACATCCAAATCAGTGAACGGTGTAGGAATTACAACAGTTTGCATATGTGCCTCCCACTTGTTAAGGGACCAAAAGTAATGGGACAGAATAATAATCATAAATCAAACTTTCACTTTTCAATACTTGGTTGCAAATCCTTTGCAGTCAATTACAGCCTGAAGTCTGGAACACATAGACATCACCAGACGCTGGGTTTCATCCCTGGTGATGCTCTGCCAGGCCTCTACTGCAACTGTCTTCAGTTCCTGCTTGTTCTTGGGGCAGTTTCCCTTCAGTTTTGTCTTCAGCAAGTGAAATGCATGCTCAATCGGATTCAGGTCAGGTGATTGACTTGGCCATTGCATAACATTCCATTTCTTTCCCTTAAAAAACTCTTTGGTTGCTTTTGCAGTATGCTTTGGGTCATTGTCCATCTGCACTGTGAAGCGGCGTCCAATGAGTTCTGAAGCATTTGGCTGAATATGAGCAGATAACATTGCCCGAAACACTTCAGAATTCATCCTGCTGCTTTTGTCAGTAGTCACATCATCAATAAATAGAAGAGAACCAGTTCCATTGGCAGCCAGACATGCCCACGCCATGACACTACCACCACCATGCTTCACTGATGAGGTGGTATGCTTAGGATCATGAGCAGTTCCTTTCCTTCTCCATACTCTTCTCTTCCCATCACTCTGGTACAAGTTGATCTTGGTCTCATCTGTCCATAGGATGTTGTTCCAGAACTGTGAAGGCTTTTTTAGATGTCGTTTGGCAAACTCTAATCTGGCCTTCCTGTTTTTGAGGCTCACCAATGGTTTACATCTTGTGGTGAACCCTCTGTATTCACTCTGGTGAAGTCTTCTCTTGATTGTTGACTTTGACACACATACACCTACCTCCTTGAAAGTGTTCTTGATCTGGCCAACTGTTGTGAAGGGTGTTTTCTTCACCAGGGAAAGAATTCTTTGGTCATCCACCACAGTTGTTTTCCGTGGTCTTCCGGGTCTTTTGGTATTGCTGAGCTCACCGGTGCGTTCCTTCTTTTTAAGAATGTTCCAAACAGTTGTTTTGGCCACGCCTAATGTTTTTGCTTTCTCTCTGATGGGTTTGTTTTGTTTTTTCAGCCTAATGATGGCTTGCTTCACTGATAGTGACAGCTCTTTGGATCTCATCTTGAGAGTTGACAGCAACAGATTCCAAATGCAAATAGCACACTTGAAATGAACTCTGGACCTTTTATCTGC